AGGGGGAGGAGGAGGAGGAGGAGGGACTCCATGTCAAAATCATAGAAAAATATTTCAAACAATTTTGATGGAAAATTTCCTGAAAATATGAAAACATGGCCCATCCAAGTACAGGAGGCGATTAGAACACCAAATAGAAAACAAGAAACGGAACTCTCCACATCATATTATATATTATAGCTAAAACATTAAATATTTAGATCAAAGTGTATTGAAAGCTGCAAGAAAAAATATAGATCGCACATAAGACTACTGTAATAACAGTTGATCTTTCAACAGAAAGTTTTAAAGCCAAAAGTACCTTGAGAGATGTGTTTCAAGTTGGGAATGAAAAAAAATGCCAATCTAGTATTTTATACTCAGCAAGACTAGTTATCACAATAATATATAAATAAAGATACTCCATGACAAAGGTGGCTGATGTACGTTGGACAGCTAAGGAGGCTCTTCAGAGCATATGACAGGAATTGTATGGACTAAAGAGAGCTAAAAGTAGTGTTGGAGACATGGCTCAGGGATTCAGAGCACTGGCTACTTTTGCAGAGGAACTGTGTTTGATTCCTATCATCAACATGGCAGATAACAACTCTCCATAATTCCAGCTCCAGGGGATCCAACAACCTCTTCCGACCTTTGCAGGCACTGCAAGAATGGGTGCACTGACTTACATGAAAGCAATACACTCATACACATTAAATAAAAATAATAAATGAAAATTTAAAAAAAATAAAAATACAAAAATATACAAAAATCAGAACACATCAAAGAGGCTATGGGGTGAAGAAACCAAACATGACACCAGAACAGCTAAATAATTTAGGATTAAGTAAACATCAAACTATCTCAATTACCCAGTCAAAGACACAGAATAGTAGATCACAGTAAACAACAGGTTTCATTTATGTAGTGCCTTGAAAAACCACAACTAGTCATCAAGGATAGACACTATCATGGGGTGGAAGAGTGGGAAAAGTTATTCCTAGCAAATAGAGGTAGGAAGCAGGCAGCTATAACTCTTAATATCTAACAAATGGACCACACCAAAGTTAGGAGGGAGAAAGTGGGGCACTTTGTACTGATCAAGGTAACAAACCATTAAGAAGATGCTGTAATTCTAAACAACTATGCACCCAACACAAGTGCACAAAATTTCATAAAACAAATACTACTAGAAATAAAGTCACAGATTGGCTGAAGTACGGTAATAGTGAATGATTTCAGTAACACTCTCACCAAAAGGCAAATTATCCAAACAAAAAAATAGAGAGACATCATAAATGACATCATAGATCAATGAACTTACCAGACATCTACATAATATTCCACCCCCAAACTGGAGAATACACATTTTCAGGAGCCCATGAAATTTTCATTAAAATAGATAATAGAGAGGAATACTAAGCAAACTTCAATATAGGAAAATTGGAATATTCTCATGCATTCTATCTGTACACAATGGAATAAAGCTGAGAAACTCATGAAGAATGCACAATACACAGCATAATGATGAATTCTTAACTATAGAAATCAAGAAGGAAATCAAATAATTCCAGGAACTGACTGAAAATGACAATAGCATATATTAAAATGTGTGTAATACAAGGAAAACAGTTTTAAAAAGGGAATTTAATAGCTATAATTGCCTACATTAAAACATCAGGGAGATCTCAAATAAATAATGTAATGAGGCAAAATAGGGACACAGGAAGAATAAGAACAAGCCTTAACAAATACAGTAGATCTAAAGAACTAATTAAGATCAAGACAAAAATTAATAAAATGGAATAAATAAAATACAAAGAATCAATGAAGTAAAAAGTATCTCCAAATAAATTGTTGAATGTGGCAAAGACATCAATTCCTTTGCAAATTACTTGTATATTTTAATATGTATTTTACTGAGTTTTTGTACATTTCATACAATAAATCTCCATCATTTAGACCCCCTCCCTGATCCCTGTCCCCCATATCCTCCCACTAGATTTCATATATTCTGTCACATATGTTAAGCCCTATTTGGTTAAGTTTTGTATCCAGTTGTCCCTTGGAGCAAGTATGAGTCTAGCCAGCCTATCTAGAGCCACTCCCTTAAAGAAAAACAATTCTCCCTCACCCAGCTGTGATCAGTTACCAATAATTCCTCGGCTGAGGTTGGAGCCTATTGCCCATTTCCCCAGTTCTATTCTGAGTTTTTGTATGATTTTAGTCTCTATGTGTCTTATGCATGTGGTGACCAGTGGTGTAAATTCATATGAGCATGTTCCCTGAGTGCTGAAAGCCTGTTTCCTGTGTTCATGCATCAGTCCTGTCTCTGACAATCTTTCCAACCCCTCTTTTCTTCAATGGTCCCTGAATTGTCAGTGAGTGAGGTTCAATACAGGACTCCTATTCTGAGACATGCACTCTGCAGTCTCGCGTTCCCTACACTGATCAGTTGCAGCCTTCTGTGTGCATTGCACTGTTGCATGAGGAGGCTTCATTGGTGAGAACTGATGGATGTATTAGTATTCTCTCTACCCATGAACCTTAGGAGTAGAGGTCCCATTGTAGATTTGTAACCTAAATTACTTATTTGTTTAATTTACTTTCAGCAAATAATCCAATTACATTTGTGCAGCCTTTGAAATTATACAAATATTGAATTATGTTTTAATAAATGCATTGAATGGAAACTCTTCATTGTATATCAAAATTACTTCACTGACATATAATAATAAAGTATTAAATTAGGAATAATCAGTTAATCAAATTAAAATAGTTTAGAAGAAAATTTATACTTAGATATAAAATACAAAGAATATGGCCTATCATTGGCTAGGGAAAATTTAGAGCATTTGTTTTGAAAATATTTTGTGGGTAGCAAAAATTAATGTTTTATGAGTGAGAAAATACATATCCCAAATTTAAAGACAAGAATTAGATTATGTGTTCTCACCAAAAATTAACTAGGCAAAGTAACACATAAATAAATCAAGTCAATTTTACCACTGAATATATATACAAATTTCTACATACGATGTGTAAATCATTAACATAAATGGCTTTATTGATAAGCTCATAAAATATTTAAATTCTTTTAAAATAAAATTACGTATGTATTCACCAAATTATAATAGTAAAATAATCACAAATAAGAGATTGTGTATACAAAGAATTAGTCCACAGAGCACAAGTAATTCAACCAATCCAATTAAATTCAGAATATAATATATAGAAAAATTGACAAAAGACTTCATTACACATTTCAAAGAAAACAGTAAAAGATGAATGTCAAATAATTATGATGTCATCAACATATCACAATAAACAAAGTTAAAATCACAGTAAATACTAGACTTACACCCATTATATTGACAAAAATATGAACTATCTCATAGCATCAACCCTTGATATGGATGTAAAACTTAGAACACACATTACTAGTACTTTTTAATGAATGTTGCTTTGCATCAGGAAGCATGATCATTGAGAAGAAATTCTCATTCTGTCTGTACTTAGTATTTTACTCCACAGCTTTTCCATAGAATTTTTTATTTCCAAATTTCTCAGGGTATATATTAAAGGATTCAACATAGGAGTAAAAATTGTATAAAACACAGTAATGAATTTATCAATAGGAAAGTTGGAGACAGGTCTAACGTACATAAAAATACAGGGAACAAAGAAGAGGACAACCACCATGATGTGGGAGCTGCAGGTAGACAGGGCCTTGTGCCTCCCTTCCTGACTGTGAGTCTTCATAGAGTTTAGAATTATTCCATAAGAGAAAAGAAGGAGAATAAAGACCACTACAGACATGGCTCCATTATTGCCAATGACAGTGAGGCCAATGAAGTAGGTGTCAGTGCATGCCAGTCCCAATAATGGGTACATGTCACAAGCAAAATGGTCAATGATATTGGGCCCACAGAAAGGAAGTATATACACAGAAAGAACTTGCATCAGAGCATGAGCAAACCCTCCAACCCAGGCCACCACCAACAGGAGGATGCAAACCCGTCGATTCATGATGGTCAAATAGTGCAGTGGCTTACAGATGGCCACATAGCGATCATAGGCCATCACCACCAGAAGGAAGACCTCAGCACCACCAAATAAGTGCTCTACAAAGAGCTGAATGAGGCAAGCAGTGAAGGAGATTGTCTTTTTGTCACAAAGTAAGTCTGTAAGCAACTTGGGCAGGATGGCAGTAGAATACACAGCATCCATGAGTGACAGATAGGCAAGGAAGAAGTACATTGGAGAATCCAGGGAGGGGCTGGCAACAACTGTCCCCAAAATGAGCAGGTTACCCACCATGGTCACAATGTAGATGAGTAAGAACAGGACAAATAATGCTTTTTGCCCCACAGGATCCTGAGTGAGCCCCAGGAGGACAAATTCAGTGACATTGTTGCCCTGTCCCATTTAATCTTCTGTCAGGCTTGTTTCAGAGACAAGAGCTTAAGGAAACAGGACTTGTCATATTGTGAACAGTACCTTGAATCCATTTTGTCCTGAAGCACATCTTCATTCTTTTCTTCAGTGGTGAACCAGCAGCCAATGTTTAGCAAGCATGTATTGAGTTCCCCTTGCAAGGATAATAATTCTGCATATGGTTTTATCTAAAAACCTCAGCGGATTTGCATCCAGATGAGAAGACAGAGGTATCTCATTCATTCATACATTTAAAACAAATTATATCTTGGCACAAATTCAGGAAACAAAAGGGAAAGCAAACATGCCTTTTAAGGACCCTGTAACTTAGTGGTAACAGTAAACTCTATTATCTAACGTAAAGCTGATATTTGAGTTGCAGTATTCTAAGCAGAATACTTTCCAATATAATCTGTGTGGTGGCGAAACAACACTGGTCCTGGAGGATCAAAACAATTGTATCATGCTATTAGAGATAGGCACTGAACGTCTCAAAAAACTTAGTTTTCAGATATTTCATTCAATCACAGAAGGCTGGATTTTGAACTGTATAAAGTATCTCCAATAATATTTAGCAATTACTTCATCTTACTCTAATTTTTGTGTTTTTTGAGGCTACAATTTTAGTTCATTATTGCCTACTAATTGTGAAATACATTTAATGCACCATCATAATTTTAACAAATATTTTAACCTGGCTTCTTCTGGGATTGTCTCAAACAAGCTCATGAGGCGATAGGACATTTTTCAGAACTCTTGGTATAAGTTAGGTATGAGGACAGGAAATAGTAAATAGAAACTGAAAAGAAGCTAAGAAAATGATGCTTCCCAGAGACTGAGATTACTCAAATACAAGTACAGTGTTCACATCTCTGACACAGCACACTCAAAGGAAAATGCACAAGCAGTGTGAAGGCATGGGGTTTAGATCATTTTCTAAATATAAATGTGTCTCAGCTGCACCCTGAAAAATAAAGGCATTAGACAAGGAACTTTTACAGTCTGCCTATAGCACTATTCAAATTTTTCTTTTTGACATTTTCTTTTTATGTTATTCCAAGATAGAACCTAAGAGTCCCTAATAGAGAATGACAACATAACAGTGGCCACATGCTTGGGCAGAGAGAGAGAGAGAGAGAGAGAGAGAGAGAGAGAGAGAGAGAGAGAGGTTTGTTGATGAATTCTCTGGACACTGCAGTCGTGTGTTTGTGTTGCAGCATCAGGCTCGTTCACTATCTCTGTGACCCTAGGACACTTAATAACACCCCCTTTGATTCTGGGTTCATCATTTTTACCACAGGAACACCTATCACATCAGCTCCCTAGAGTGTTTTGTTTGATTTTCTGTTCCCCTAAAGCACTGCTCAAAACCTATGACATCTGAATGAATGTTGCCTATTACTGATGCTTTTAAGTGCTTCATTATATCAGCTGAAAATAAATCACAAGTTTTTCTGTTAACAAGAATTTCTAGACATACCATGAATAGAAATAACAGTAAATGTATGCCTCATAAACCAGTTTTTAGATATAGGATAAAATTGTATGTGTTAGGAATTACCTTTTTCCTTTAAGAACATATAATATTTACCTGTGAAGAAATATATTCTGACGTTATGCAAGCTTGGAAAATTCCATCTGCAGCACCTTAATGTTAAACATGGATAAACATGTGGGCAGAGTCTAAACTTTCTTTAGAAGCAGCTGTGATGCACCTTCCACATACCTCATTCACATTTCTGCTTCCATGTGAATCAGAGACACAGTGGTCAGTCTTGAAGCTTCAGACTGCTAAAGGCACACCTGTTGTAGAAGACTGTAACATAACATGTCCAATTCAGTCTCTTTCACATTTTCTCTGTGCTTTAGCACTTCTTATTTTTTCCTTATTTTTCTTTGAATTTGAGTTTAACCAAACCAAATGTACTAGAAGACAGTGTAATTATTCACATAACACTAAAAGCAGAATACTTAAGATAACCATATTTAAATTTATGTCAACTACACTGTAAATTATCAAAGATTTGGATCTATAAAAGCTGAATATCACTGCTTTCAATTTATTCTGTTAATATTTTACAGAAAAAAGTAATAATTAAACCATTTTTAAGAATGTACATTTTTAAATGATACCTATTGTTTCAGAAATATTCTGCATAACAATGGAATCTTTTCAGGCATAAAGAACAATTAAGTCATGTTTTTTGAAAGATTATTAATATATTTGGATAGAATCGTATCAACCAAATTGTCATTCTCTGAAACAATAATGCTGCTCTTTCCTTTGTTGATCCTAAATTTCTATAGATATGTAAAGTCATATATGTAGAGATGAGATAGATATAAAAGTCAAGCTGTCTAGATGAGAAAATGCTGTAAATGGAAGGCAAAGTGGTGAAAAGATGGAAATTTGCAGGTTATGGGGGAATAGGCTCAAAGCGTTTTACATACAAGAAAATTAGTCGTATGCAATCCAGGATAATAAAATAATTACTATTTTATAAATGTATAGTACTTAACAATGTAAATATACAATCTAAATAATAGTGATGAGAAACTTCTCTATATATTTCTGTATGTATGCATACTAACATATTTACAAAAGTAATTGTACAGTACACAGAAAGCACACATCCAATTGACACAAAATAATAGATATTTCCTTCCTTACACTCTAGCACTTGGGATGATATGCAGCTCTGCATTTCCTAATATATTTAAATTTCCAAATATATATATATATATAGATATATATATAATTCTATGTCTTTGTTAACAAATGGCATAGAAAATACTCTAAAATAAAATAAAATAATAAACCCATTGCAGTTTTATTATGCACATGCAGCATTTCACTTAATAGTTGGCAAAATGGAAAACAAACCAAGTCAGTCTATAGCGCAAAGACCAAAAATACTAGGCATATTCTGATTAATGTCTGAGTTTTGCCACCTCAGTTTTCCCAATTTAGATAGTTTCCTTGAGTATATATGACAGTTAAACATCAACAAAGAAACATTTTACTGGTATCCTTTCTTGGTGGTCTCATACACTCACGTTCTGGCTCTTATTCTTGTTCTAGAAAGTCAAAGGTTCTTTTACTTGGTTTACAATAAATATTTCATATACCTGTGAAACTTCATAGAGCACATGATAACTGACAGTTGTTTAGTAATCCAGGAAGAGAACCAATTGAATGTATTAAATACCTTCCCAGAAGATTTATCAATTATGTCAGTCTTTTTGAGAAGCATATCCAAGTAAATACCCAAATTTCAAAAAACACTCAACTATACTTCAAAATGTATTTTAAAATGTAGTAGATATTCTCACTTCATAAAAAACAAAAAGCTATGCTTTTACAAGTTTATATAAAGTCAACACGATGGAGTTTAATGTGTCCAAACCCATTATTTCTAACACAAACAGTAACAGTAAAATTATGTGATTTTACTATTTTCAGTCAGTTGAAGTCCTCAAAAGAGGCCTTCCTTTATGGCAGGACAATGGCATTAATTCCCATCACACATACATTAGGTACCTAACAAGTTAGAGGTAACAATTTAAATCTTGAAACACTGATGATGATTCCTCCGGAGAAGGAGAATCAGGCAACCTTTAAATTTTCTAAGGTAGTGCCTCAATAATGCTCCTTCCATCCTACTTAAAAACATGTCCCCAGGTGTACAAGGTCACAGGAAATGGAAAACTTCCACAAACTTTCATAAGCAATGATGAACACAGGAAAAAACTTGCATAATGCATCATGGACTAAATACCAAGTGAAGACTTATCCCGGGTTTGCAACATTGGAGTCTTCAAAGGACTGCTGGGTCATTTAATCAGGAAAACAATTTTTCCATTGTATTCACTATACAGTCTGTGATGTTTTAGTATCTTTGCTATTTTAGTAGATTAGCCAATTAGAATATTTGGAAGAAATTCAAATGAAGCAATGTCTCTTGTCTTCATTTCAGTATAACCCCTAGAGGTAGAAGCCCTGAATCTTGCCAAGAATGAGAAATTAATACCCAAGATGATTTTAAAAGACTATAATATGTAAAGAAATTTTCAAAAGTGTAATGAATAGTAACTATGACTTGCACATCATGATATTTTCACATAAGTCAAATTATGTTTTTAGCAGTCTGCCAGGGACAGCAGTTTCAGTCCCTGAACTCAACTGCACTCTGGCAAAGCAGTCTCGAACTGACCTTCAGAATCAACCCCAAGAAGCTTTGAGGTGCACAGGCTGAGAACTGGGACCTACTGTGTCTGTTGGAGCTGACAGTAAACTAATAGACTTTCTAATAGAGGGAGAGAAAGGAAGTCATAATTCTGCCCTTTATTTGGTGTGTAAGTTATGTGTGAGATGGAAACATAATGAATTAATTCTCTTCATTAACTCCTTTAATTTCTCCCAATATTAATTAAATAACTGTTTCTATTAGAAATGAATTGTTGTTTTCCAAAAAGCAGCAGAACTTAAGAGCTTCTAAAGTTATCCATTACCTTGTCTTTTTATCAGCTTCAGTGAACACAAGCCCACTTATGTTAAGTAACATAGTAGCTCTTCTGTGCCACAAAGTTCTGGAAACAGGGTCATAACTGTCAGTTCATATTTAAAACTTATGCAATAAATGAATTAAATCCAATAATCTTAAATGTATTCTATGTAAGATAAAGAACACATTTAGACGTTGCCCTTCTTTAAAATGAATTTTATTCATTCCTTGAGACTTTCATATATATGTATATATATGTATATATACATATATATATATACAATGTATTTTGATCATATTCACCCCTATTCTATTCCTTCAACCACTGCAAGAAAACCACACCCCTTCCACTTAGTGGTGATCATATGCACATGTGTTTAGGGAAGATCATTTGGGATGGGATAACCTGCATCAAGAAGTTCATCCCTGGGGAAAACTGATTCTCCCACACTCAACAGTCACTGTTGGAATCTTATGACATTTCCCTCGTCTCTGCTTGTAGTTTTCTTAATGATAAATTAAGGGATAAACCAGAGTGATCAAATTTCTGATAATTAAACTATTATTCAAAAACAGAAACCTTGCATATACAGTGTCCCTTCCACTTGAATTCAAAAATTGCTAAAATATTCTGCTTATGTGAACGAAGCAAAAGAACAACTTCCTTATCACATGATGTCATCCACATCCAGAATCTGTTTATTTTCTTCTGTGAGAAAAGTTCATATTTACAGCTAGAAATATCATAAATTTCATCCAAGATTAGTAATTAATAAATTTATCAAATCTATAGGGAAACTAAATCACAATAGGAGCTCGAAAATATTTTGGATTTAACAGTGATGAACACACAACATCAAATATCCTGAGTCAGTAATGATCTTATATACATGGGCCAGAAAATTACACATATTTAAAAAACACTGTAAAAATGTTTTCAAAAAGTTTTACTTATAGCATAATTTCTTCCATATCATCCATATTTTCAAACACTGATGCCCAAATATCATATCTTAGTCCATAAATACATACAATTATTGCAATTTCAATTTTTTTAGTGTTACTAAAGTACTCCTATTTGGTTAATCTCTTTTTGAGGATGAGTAATATTCCATCTTTTATATATATATATGTGTGTGTGTGTGTGCATGTACAAATGCTAGATAAATGTAAAGATATATATATATATATGTGTGTGTGTGTGTGTGCGTGTGTGTGTGTGTGTGTGCATGTACAAATGCTAGATAAATGTAAAGATATATATATATATGAAAAGTGGCATGTTTTGATAAATAGAACAAAATAATAATTTCCCAGTGGGTGTTCTCAAATTGACAAGGTTAATTCATAATAAAATATTTATCAGATTCTCCACTTAACCAGAGTCTTTATATATTCAGCCATTGCTGCCTAAGGCCAAGGATCACCAAGGAGTTTGTAGGGATATTACAAAGGACAATTATCTACTATTTGTGGTTTCAGATTCATCCTCATATAATCTTTCAATTAGATACTTCACTTATTTTAATTCAAGCAAATGGACCCCCTATACAGCTATTGGAATATGTGACATCTGTTCCCCCTAATTGCACAGCAATGCACCAAAGCATAAAATTCCCCATGGAGAGTCAAAATAAAAGAGCTTAGAGCCAAATTTGATAAAATTGTTCCTCTTCCAACTATAGTCATGATTTAAGCAGTTACTAATATCAGATATAATGCATGCTAAATTGTGGCATATAGGTGGAGAAAAAAAAGCAAACACACTGATAAATGCTAGTAAAGCACTGTCATTCTTGTACCATGAGATTATCTTGACTTTAGAGATTTAAATTCTGAATTATTTTTCTTATATGTGAAAAGAAGCTAATTGGTATGGGAAAATGTCATTCGACAAATGTGGAAGGATTTCACTGAAGTTTAGTTACTAATTTTAGAATAATTGTGTGATTCTACAAAAAATATGATGCAATATTAACATAATAACAAATGAATTAAGCTTGAAATGTATTTAATCACATAATCCACTCTTAAGCACTCTTGAATATGTACCTAAAGGACACTATAACATATTACAGAGATACCTGTCCATCCATGTTCATTGCCATTCTACTTACAATAGCCAGGATATGGAAACAACTTAGATGTCCATCAACTGATGAGATGATAATGAAAGTATAGTACATTTACACAATGGAATATTGTTCAGCTGCTAAGATGAAATTTTCAAAATTTCAGATTTTGGATCGAACTGGAAAGAATCATCCTAAATGAAATGACCAGCTCCAGAAAGACAAATGTCACATTTTCTCTCTGATGTATAAATGCTATCTTTGAATTTTTTAAACTTTTTTATTCAAGAGCCTGGAGAGATGACTCAGAGCATTGCCCACTCTTGCAAAAGACCGGGGTTCGAATCCCAACACCCACATGGCAGTCAACAACTATCCATAACTGGGATTTGACACCCTCTACTGTCCTCTGTGGGCACTGCATGACATGGGTGCACTTATACACATGCAAGCATAGCGGTCAAAGACATGAAATTTTTAAAAATTTAAAAATATATTTTACTCAAATCTTTAAGAAGATAATAAAGGTAGCTTAAAGCACCTTAAGAATGATGATATATCTAGTTAGTTAAATGAATTCTAAAGTTGATTTGATAGGAAATAAAAAATTCATTAATTGTCCTATGAAGCAAGCACATTTCAGGCTTTGAGATATCTTTCATTAAAGTGACATCTACAATGTTAACATGTAACTTCATACATCTGGATTTTCAGGAGTAAAAAGAAAAATCAGTCAAAAGTATATTCTAGATAATTAAATAAACTAAGCATTCTCTGAGCCACAAAATTGATAACTTAAAGTGTCACTATAAGGACATAGAATCATCAGTTTTTATTTTTTCCCATGCTTCAGGTACTTTTCCCTAATGAAAATAAACTGATGTATGACTGCATATAGCACCTAAACATAGGTATTGACTATTGGCCTTATTTGAGTTATTTTTATTTTTATTGAATTTTTGTGATTTTCATACAAGATAATTTGACAGTATTTAGATCCCCCTCCCTTAACCCTCACCTCCCCATATTGATCCTCAACCACTTTGATGTACTCTAGTTTATACAAATGATAAGTCCAATAGAGTCTAATTAGTTCCCCAAATGTCATTCAGTGTGGTTCCATCCACTGGATCTTGGTTAACCTACGCCAAGAGTCCCATGCTTGAAAGAAACTGTCTCTGTCCCTCCTAGCAGCCATCTGTTGCCAAAATTTTCTTAAGTGAGGTTGGGATTTCTTACTCTATGCTGGGGTTTTTGTCTGTTTTGAGGTCTCATGGGACATGTGCATGCTGCCACTGTTGCTGTGAGTACGTTTGAGTAACTGACAAGCTGATTAGAAAACTCTGTTTTCTTGTGGTCATCCACCACCTCTGGCTTTTAAAATCTTTCTTCCTTCTATTCAGCAATTATCCCTGAGCCTTGGGAGGCAAATGATTGATATAGGTGTCCTAGTCAGGCATGAGTACTCTACAAATTCTTGTTTGCACATTGTTCAGTTGTGCGTTTCTGCGTTAATCATCATACGTTACATAAAGAAACGTCTCTGGTGAAAGTGAGAGATGCATTAAACTATAACAATAAGTTATTAAGATTCAGTTCAAGATGACAGCTATTTAGTAGAAAAATGAGTATTAGGTTCTCTACTATGTCCTGTGAACTGTTTAGTCTCAAATTACCAAGTCTGATACCAATGTTAGGCATGTGTTCTATCTTAGAAAGTGGACCTTATATCCAAATAGAGTTATTGGTTACTACCATAATGTTAGTGTCCCTATTGCTCTGGTGGACATATCTTGCCAGACCAATGCTATTGCATTTCATAGAATTAACAGTGGGTAAGGTTGATGATTATTTTTCTTTCCAGTAGTATGCATAGCACTTTTCACCATTATAAACACTAGCCAGTGACACAAGCCAGTGCCCAGATATGCATTCACTTTCAGTTTTGGTAGAGTGATTCCTGGATCTTGCCCTGCTCCAGGCTTTGAGTTTGGAGCTCCATTCCTAAGACTCCCTACCTCTCCACTGTCTTAACTCTCAGACTGCTTTGGGTCAAAGGATATTACCCCGTCCCATATCTGCATACACTACCAGGCTTAGAATAATGAGTCCCTTCTTGCCAACTCAGCTCTAAACAAAGCCTAGGTCCCCAGGATCTTTCATCACCCTAGAAGTGCTATCTTTGAATCTTTAGATATGTGTGTTTCAACTGGAAAATCATTAGAAGTCAGGAAACTAAGAGGAGAGGATAGGTGGGGAAGACTTCCCAGGAAGGAAAAGGAATGTAGTGATATGGAAGACAAGGGGAATAATGGACTAGGAAGGGTGCAATGGGGTAGAGAATGAGATGGCTATGTAGAGGAGGGAGTATATGGAGGATAACTAACACTAAACACTTCTAGAAAGACATATGAGAACCTACCACATTTTGGGATGCAAAACAAATCTCAACAAATAACAAAAATGGAAATACTTCCATTTATTCTATCAGACCACAGTGAAATAAGGCTTATAATCAACAGCCAAAGAAGCTCTAGTAACTGTACAAACTCATGGATATTAAACAACACACAACTGAATGATGAATGGTTTATGTACATAAATGTTTTGTATATATACACATATATAAATAACCTGCTGAGTCCATTAATTATTAAAAATATGACTAAAATAAACAATTTCATATAAAATCATAAAAATGTTTATTAAATTAACAACATATTCAATTATGCTAATAATAAAGAAAACTAAAATCACAATGAATACCACTGTTTTACCCACTAAAATTATAATCCCAAGTATATCACAATATCAATTGTCAGTATGAATGCACAAATTGAGACACACTATTAGAATTTATTATTGAGTATTGTTTAGCAGGTATCAGTATAATCATCAAGTAGAAATTCTTATTCTATTGGTGCTGAACATTTTATAGAAGAGCTTTTCCATAGAATTTTTAATCTCTGCATTTCTTAAGGTGTATATTAAAGGATTCAACATGGGAGTGACAATTGTATAAAAAACAGTAATGGATTTATCAATAGGAAAATTAGAAACAGGTCTAGCATACATGAAAATACAAGGAACAAAAAAGAGAACAACCACCGTGATGTGGGAGCTGCAGGTGGACAGGGCTTTGAGCCTCCCTTCCTGACTGTGAGTCTTGAGAGATTTTAGGATGATTCCATAGGAGACTAGGAGGAGGATAAAGATCACTATACACATGGCTCCATTATTTCCAACCACAGTGAGGCCAAGGAAGTAGGTGTCAGTGCATGCAAGTCTCAATAATGGGTACATATCACAGCCAAAGTGGTCAATGACATTGGGGCCACAGAAAGGAAGGTTATATACAGCAAGAACTTGAAATAGGGCATGTGCAAAACCTCCAGCCCAGGCCAGCACCAAGAAGAGGATGCAAACCCGTCGATTCATGATGGTCATATAGTGCAGTGGCTTACAGATGGCCACATAGCGATCATAGGCCATGGCCACCAGAATGACTATATCAACACCAACAAATAAATGTGCAATAAATAGCTGGCTCATGCAAGCTGTGAAGGAAATGGTCGTTTTATTACTGAGCAAGTCTACAACCAACTTGGGTGTGATGACAGTGGAATAAAGAGCATCCATGAATGACAGACTGGCAAGTAAGAAGTACATGGCAGTGCCCAAGGATGGGCTGGCAATAACTGTCACCACAATGAGCAGGTTGCCCACCATGGTCACAATATACATGAGTAAAAATATGAAAAATAATGCTTTTTGACCAGCTGGATCCTGAGTGAGGCCCAGGAGGACAAATTCTGTGACATTGTTTTTGTGTCCCATTTACTATTTTATTAAAATTATTTCAGAGACAAGAGCTCAAGAAAACAGGGCCTGATGAGCTACGAATAAGACTGAATCCATTCTGTCTTGAAGGTCATCTTCATTGTCTTCTACAGTAGTGAACTAGAAACTGGCATCTAGTTAATACTGATTGAATTCCCCCCTTTAAGAAGCTCCACTCACCTTCTGTTAATAATTGTATAGATACTGGGGTCTATCTCAAAACCTCAGTGGATTTCTATATAGAAGAGTATACAAAGGTATCTAGTCACCCATGCTTTGAAGACTAGTCATTTAAAACAGATTACGTCTTGCACGGACAGCAAAACTCAAATGGGGAAGAAGTTTTCCTTTAAGAGTCTTGAAAGAACATTTTGACTAGCATAGAACTAGAACAGTTTGCAATGGTAATGTCTGTGGAGAATACTTTATGATCCAGGTAGTACCTAAAATAAAATAAAACTGGTCCTGGAGAGTACTAGTCAATGCTGTTTTATTATTAGACATTATTAGACATAGGCACTGAACATTTCAAAATAATTCTATTCTTTATGTGTATCTCATTTAATCTCAAAAAATAGACTTTGAATTGAATCAAATCTCTCCAATATTACTGAGCACATTATTGCCTGTGGTAATTACAATTACTTCATCTGACTTTGTCATATTTTAGGAGCTATAATCCTGTTCATTTCATCCTTGCCTATGATAATTTGTATCACATTAGATACACTAACATGCTTACCTGAACTAACCAATGACATTCACAAAGTCCTGCAGCAGCAGACAGTATATTTCTTCCAAAAATTAAAGGATAAGCTAGACAGTGAGTCAGGAGAAAATAGAAATGGAAAAGAGGGATAATAAACAGTGGGACATGGTTTTGTATACAACACTGCCTAGGTACTGAGTGCTTATGTACTTACATAAAAATTCAGTGTCCAACTCTCCAAACACAGAGCACTCAAAGGAAAACACATAGTCGAGGAGAGACAGCATGGGTTTTGTTCATTTTCTAAACATAATTATAAATATATCTCAGTTGGTACCCTGAAAAACAAAAAGAATAGACCAGTAGTTTTCATATCTTTTCTGGCCTAATGTCTCTAATTCTACCACACTACTACTTCAGACCTACTTGTTTTCTGCTGTCATTTTTCTTTTTTCATAGTTTCACAATATTTCCAAACTTATTACTGCTTCCTGAATAATGCAAATCAGGGGGAAGCAAGATGCTGTAACTACTGTGACTGAGTAACGATTCCAATTTTATTGTTCATAGTGTACCAGAGAAAGGATCTGAGACACGTTTGGAGAGAGAGAATAGCACAGTGATAAATACTGCGGTCTCTGAAGCAATGTAACTGTAACAGAGTACAGTACATTCATTTAGTATCATCATGAACTTGAACATCCTAATAAGGCTCTCTCTGTCTCTGTTTCATCATTTGTACCACAGAGACTTCCATAATATCTGCCTCCTAGGGTGTTCTGTTGGTTTTTACTTTCTTTTGAAGTAACTGAAGCATTGTTCATCACACCCTGAATCTTAAGTGAATGGTGACTATGCTTAATGCCCTTGAAAGTTTTACTGTATCAGCTGAGTGAAATCATGAGGCTCTATACCCATTTGACAGGAATGACAGATATATTCCAGGACTGAAAGAATAGCATATCTGATACTCATGAACCACTTTTTTACTTAGGTCAAAAGCATATATCTTAGCAGTTGTCTATTTTATTATATAAAAATTGCAGCAATATTCACCTGTGAAGAAATATATTTGAATGCGTACCAAGCAAGGAAGTTCCATCTCCAAGGACTGAGTATTGGTGAGGAACCTGTGCAAAGAGATTCTGAGCATTCTTTAGAAGCAATTTTGATGCACTTCTCATTTCTGCTTCCATATGAATTAGAACTTCCTGGCATTCAGTCTTGAAACTGCAGCCTGATAAAGATATTCCTAGAGTAGAACATAGGGTTATAACATACTATGTTCAGTAATGACTTTCACATTTTATATTCTACACGTTTTAGTGGCTTTCATTATTGATTGGCAGTGGATTTTACCATAACAAAGCTTCCAGCATCCAAGATAATTATTTACATAATAGAGTAAAAACACAGTTCTACCTCATGCTTAAAATTATGTAAATTATAATGTACATCATCAAAGACTTGATTCTATAAACAGCGAAGAATAATACGATTGTTTTCAATATGAACTATTGTCAATATGTTTCTAGAAGGGTAATAATTTAATCCAGTTATTAAGAAAATGGACTTTTAAAAAGATAGTCTTATATTTTAACAAAACTACGCTACATAACACTGAACTTTCTTCAGCCATAAAGACAAGTGAAGCTATGTCACTTTTCAGAATACAGATACAGTTGGAAATAAATGTATTATGTGATTTAGGTCAGTATCAGAAAGACAGAGATCATATTCATCTCATTTGTGAGTTCTCATTTCTAGACACGTAAAATCATATTTTCACAGAAGGCATGAGAGCAGAACAGAAATTGTTCAGAGGAGTAAAGAAGTGGGAGCAGGAGGGGTGAAAACGGAGAGTGCAGGTGCAGGAGGGTGCTTGCTCAAAGTACAACCGCATGCCTTCATGAAAATGGTCTTATATAGTCCAATAAAACAAAATAAAATGATTCTAAAATACCATTGTAATACTACACAACAAATTAAAAATACCTGTGACATTGGTGAGATATTTCTAAATGATTTTCTGTGTTTATGCATGCTGACATCATCCCAGGGACAATTTTATATATATATATATATGTGTGTGTGTGTGTGTGTGTGTGTGTGTGTGTGTGCCAACACCAAGAGAATATAATAAACATTTGTTCCCATGCACTCTAAGTACTTGTGCTAACATGGAATTTTCAATTTCTCAATTTAAATATATCTAAAAGCTAACAAATCATGTGAAAGATAATGCATAAAATAAAAATAATCATTCTATTGTGATTTTTAATAAATGCAATGTATGTTGTTATTTGGAAAAACAGAAAATAAGCTCCCCAAAATTAGTCTCTAAGACTAATATCAAATATACCATGTATATTATGATTAATTTCTTTCTGTTGCCATCTAATTTTCCCAATTTATATATTTCTTATGAGAACACATGACCTTTAAAACATCAGCTCTAGTTCAGTGTGTGACAGAACTCCTAGCTAATGTTCCTTGTTTGTAGTGTGACAAACTCATAACTTGAGTCTTATTCTTGTTCCAGAAAATCAAATGTACTTGTGCTGGATAACCTACAACTACTTCATGCCCCTACGTGCCTTCAAAGAATGGATGATAACATGTGACTATTGAGCAGATGAAGACTGGGCAGCAAGTGCAGCAAACACATCCACAAGTCTTCCCATTAGCTCAGTCTTTCAGAGAAATGTAATAGCATACAAGTTAATATCACAAATATACAAAATACTTAAAGATAAGGTCAAAACTCACTGTTAAAGGTAGTTGAATATTGTCACCATCCAAAGTATCTTCAAAAGAAAACAGAGCCATCCACATTCTATTTCTCCTCCCTTGAAAGCCATCCCTCCTTTGGCCCTTGACCAACGTCCTTACCTCTGTGGGTATTCCAAATGAAACACATATGTCTAAAGATTCAAGGTAACTTAGTTTTCTATACGATATGGTCCTGGTAGGTCAAACAAGCTCCGGTAAATGATCATACACTCAAGAGCAGCACAAATTGGACTCAATTGCATTTTTAAAAATGAGGACACAAAGTTGGGTGGGTATGGCAGACATGGATCTGAGTGTAGTGGGGAAGGAGAGCAAACAATATCAAACTACAATGAATGAAATTCTCAATAAAAAATTAAAAATTTTAAGAGACTATATTTGCCCATGTGTAAAGCTAGTTTATCTAATTAGCAGTAATTAGCTTGTCAGCACACTTTATATCTTGTCAGATAAGTAAAAATTGCAAAAAACATAAAACTATATGAATTTTCTCTTTTCAGTCAATTGTACTGAAGCCGATGAAAAGGACTTGGCTTTAAGGAGGTGCGGCAGTATCTGTGTGTTTCACAAATAATCAGGTAAACAACAAGACAAATCAGTTGTTTCAATTCTTGGAGCCCTGAAGATGAAAGTTTCTCATGAGTACACGCACGAGCCTTCAGTCTTTAAGTTATTCAAGTAGAAGCTCCCTAAAATCCCTTCCTCTTTTATTAAAAATATGTCCTTATATGTGAGAGGTCCCATGACGTTGAGGCCTTCCAAAACCTTTCCTAAGCAATGATGAACACAGCAAAAGACATACCTCAGAGGTTAAATCCCAGCTTGGGTAGATTTCAGTTTTCAGAGACTTTTTGGGTCATTTACTCAGGAAAATATTTCTTCCATTTATAGTCATAATACAATAAATGATTTTTTCATCATTGCTATTTAATAGATAAGCTTTTTAGGATACTTGGAACAAATTCAAAAGAAGTAATATCTTTTGAATGATTTTCTTCCCTTCAATAATCCCTAGAGGCAAAAGCCTTGAATCTTGCCAAGAACAAGTAGCTTACTACCAAATTGATTAGACAATTCTATTTTGTGAAAATAAAAATTTCCAAGTATGATTGAAAAAGAATGGGTTATCATTTAAATAAAGTATTTAATTAGGGAAAGTGGTATTTGAACCATCTTGAAGGAGGAAAAAGAGTCAGTCCCAGTACCCAAGTGCATTCCAGCAAAGCATAGCCTTGCATTGACTGTCAGAAAGAATCTGTGCAAGATGCTTTGAGGCACAGAGTTGGAGAGCTGGAAATGAGTCTTCTAGAGTTGCAACTTAGGTTGTAAATGTTGGGAATACAGGCAATCATGGTTCTGCCATTCATTAGGTATGGAAACTTTACGTGGAGGCCTGATTATTTTTGAGATGGCAATATAATGAACTTTAGTCTATTTATTTAATCCCTTAATTTCTTTTCAATATTAATTAAATGGCAGTTTGTAAGAGCTTCCA